ATGGCCAAGTTGATAATATATATATATATATATATATATATATATATATATATTAAAAGGCTAGGGTTAGGTTACTTGTAAAACTGTTTTATTAAAGAATTGTTTCAGTTTAAAAATATAAACTCGTGTTAGATTTCATTAATAATTTACGTTATTTTTCAAAACATTTTTAAAATGAAAACTCTCTCTATATATAAAACTTACATATTTCTACCATTATTTATTTGATTAGTAAAATTTTGATAAAAGACTAATTAAATCTAAAAACTTAAAGATTGATTTTATATTATTGTATGATAAATTCCAATTCATTGCTTATAAAACACTCTCTCGTAGACTTTAATTGGATTTGGCATGAAAATCTTTTAGCTTATGCTTTTCTTTTCTAGATTGAGTTCCTCCCATGATAATGTGGTGTTTGGTGATTAATTGCTAAATTCAAATATTAATTAATAAATTAAAAATTAAATAAGATTTTTTTCTAATAAAAAACAAGATTTCCCAAGATTTTACAATTTACAGTTGAATCAACCATGTAGATTAGAGGTGTGAAATGAACAGCACGAACGCCAGATGATATATAGTGGTTGTCTTTGGCATAAAAGTCAATGACTAGTCAGTCATATGTTAGGCCGGCTTGCACCATTCAGCCCATTATAGGTTTTGTACGTCACTTGGGCTAGCACGTTAATAGGGCCCGTACAGGCTCGTTCTCAGCATAACATGAGATTTATTAAGGTTTAATTATTATTTTTTTAAAATAAATTTTAGAAAAGTAAATTTTAAAAAAGTAAATTATTTTTTGATGTTTGATAGTGTAATAAAAAATAAGTTAGAAAATATTTTTCAGTGTTAGATTATATAATAGAAAATGATATAACAATTAAAAGTTTGAGGATCAAATATGATAAAATCAATAAATAATATGACGTTTCTAAATGTTTTATAATTTCTGGAAAGTGTTTTTCTCCTATATGTTTTAGAAAAATATTTTTCTAGAAACCAAACTAAATTTTTTTTCAATCAAAAAATATTTTTCGTTTATCAACTTTTCTAATCTAGAAAATAATTTTTCAGAAACTACTTTTCAAAAAATAAATTAAACCTAAAACAGATTCTGCATATTTAAAGATAAATATGTTATTTAGTTTTTATGTATTCGATAGTTTTTTATTTTTTTAATAAAATATATTTAAGTCTCTATCACTGCAACTTATTTGATTATTATATAATATGAAAGGCTTATCCATATTGTGTAGCCCAGGGCTCAAAGGGCCTCTAATAAACTGGAAAAAAAAAGAGAAATATATTATTTATTTATTTATTTATTTAAATTTTTTATTAATTTTATATATGAAAGTCTTAGAATCAAGCACATATTTATCATGTCATTTCCAAATCATTGCTTTGGACCATAATTTTATATATAAGAGCATACGATTTACACAACAAATATAGATCGATCATATGTTTTAAGCTATTTAAATAATCATTAGTATAGTATAAATAAAATTTAATATTATTAAATAATATAAGATAATAATCAAGGATGCATAATTTTATAATTTTTAGAGTTTTGATAGTCATAATAAAATATCAATGAAATATTGTAAAGTTAAAGCTAGTTGATTTAAAATTAAACATTATTTTATATTATTATCGGTTTATGTGATGTATATATAGTCACATGTTGAAAAAACAGGATTAATCTATTATTTTTTAGAAATTATTTTAATATTTTATTCTAATTTTCTAACTTTTAGCGATGGATTTAACCTTACATATTAGTTTTAATAGAGTTGATTCTTCTTAATTTTGGAGTGCATGTTTTGTTTTTTTAATATAAGTCAATATATTGATTAATTATTAAAAAATAATATAAAACATAATTGTGTTCTTTTATTAAAATAGTTTTCTTATTGATGAAATAATCATAAATTAGAATCTCATCATTATTTTTTAATTAAAATTAATTGATTGCATAAAATAATAATACATATAAATTTCAAGTTTAAAAAATTTTTACTTAAAAAAATATATTAAATAACAATATAAATTATATTTTAAGCCTCACTTAACAATTTAATTTTATATTTTATAAAATTAAGTATTTTGACATAGAATTCCATGCTTTTGTATATAATTATTATGAATCAATTAACTGTTAAACAAACCATGTGCCACATTTTACCAAGTGATAGATTGGCTACTCAAAATTACCCTGCAGACTCAATCTTCCATCAATTTTACCTCGTAGATTAATGTTCTTATTGGTATTTGCCAGCCCATAATTTGATGGAAGACAAGCGTGCAGGCATTTATTTTCCGATCGAGCCAATTGAGAGGAAACTGATCACACAGGACCATATATTTGAGTTTGTAACAGAGAGATCAATCGATTTTAGATGAGTATTTTATATTTATATTCATTTTCTGCCTATCAAAACCGCCAAGGCAAAAATGTTATGGTGATAGTTTCTAAACCTGTTTCGGTGATTGATTCAATTTAAAATTAAGATTATAAGTTTTAACCGAACCATTAGATTAATTTTAATTTTGTTCACAAAGTAAAAAATCACATCATTTTTATTTCTTTAAAAATAATTAATAAGTTGCAACCATGTTTAAATTCAAACTAAAATACATAGATAAATTTCGATTAATTTTTTTGATTAATTTTACTCATTTTGTTAAATAAAAGAATTCAATCAATCTCAATTGCTTAATTAAATATAAAACTAAAATATTTCAAATACGAACAAAATATAAACATTCTAAACAAGTAAATTAAACACATGATAAGTTAAGATCTAAATTTACTTACCAAACACATAATTAAGCATAAAACTAAAATATTCCCGACACAGCTTGATATAAACAGTCCAAACAACGAACTGAAACATTAATAATTAAAATAAGATTATTCTAAGCTCCTAAGAGATTCAAAACTTTCTATTTTTGTCAATCCTATATATTTTTTTTTTTTCTTAAAACACACCCGATTAAAGCCCGTTCCACTACCACCAGAAAAAAATATTAGAAAAATATGAAAAAAAATTATGATAGCATATATTAATTAATAACATTCTTGATATACGTGAAAATCCATGACAATCTCTTAGATATACAAAAATATTATTTATATTTTTATAAAGATTGAGCATCAGAAATGGGAGCTCATCCATGCATGCGGAATGGAGAGAAAGACGGGAAGTGGAGAGGGAGTAAAGAAAGGAATTTGACATACCTTGAAGATCTCTCTTGTGAACGGCAGAAGCAGCAGCAGCAACAATGGATGAGAAAATGAAAAGCTAGGGTTAAGATTGAATATGTGTATATATAGATAGGATATAATTGGTATTAGCAAGAAGCCTTAGTGTAGTTTTGTCCGCACAAATCCTTTCATGTGGAAAAAGATGACTGGAGGCTTTTTTTCACTTTTGTTTTGATTTGTTGGAATATATATTTTTGATGTTTTTTAACTTAGGAATTAAGGTGGAAAGATTAAAATTATTTTTAACATTGATATATTAAAATGATGTAAATATATTAAAAAAATATTTAAAGCAAAATAAATAAATAAGTATTTAATTTTTAAAAAAATACTTATAAAACATGAAAACGACTCTAATGTATTACCTTGTCTCAACCTTTTCATATGCTTGGAAAACATACCAATTTGGCATTGTGCAGATAAATCAAACCCAATATCAAATCCAATAACAAGAGGGACCATTACAAGAAGAAGAAATCACATGAGATACATTGAATTAAGTCAAAAGTCTTTCATAATTATTAAGAAAGAATAATTAGTCAAACCAAATGGAAGCATCAAAATTGGCTACCCATGAAAAATAGATAATGCATCCCCTGTTATTCATTCCCTCCAGCCTGCCAATATGTTTTCATTGTCCTTGTGACAATATCTTGAAAAATGAAACCCATATAAATGGTGGAGGAGCAAGATAAGCCAATCACATCCATTTTTAAATAGCAAAACAAGCTCACAAAAAGGAAGAAATGGCCGAGCTGTTCGTTAATCAGGCAAAACAATATGCAGAGACAAGGCCTAGTTATCCTCAAGAACTGTTCCAATTCATTGCCTCAAAAACTCCCGCTCGTGACCTTGTATGGGATGTTGGCACAGGAAGTGGGCAGGCTGCTCGATCGGTGAGTTCTCTTGCCCTCCTCTGTCTCTTATCCAGTTCTTCTACCTGACATCTGTGTTGATTGCAATTCTTGATAAGACTAGTATTCTAACCAATCCAAGTTTCTTAATTTCAGCTAGCTGGGATATACAAGCATGTAACAGGAACAGACACAAGCCTGCAACAACTGGAATTTGCACCAAAACTTCCCAATGTGAGCTACCACCATACGCCTTCAGTTATGTCAATGAGTGGACTTGAACGGACTGTGTCAACACAATCTAGTGTTGATCTAGTGACTATTGCTCAGGCCATGCATTGGTTTGATCTCCGTGCATTTTACCAACAAGTTAAATGGATACTCAAAAATCCTGATGGGGTCATTGCTGCTTGGTGCTACACAATTCCTGAAGTCAATGACTCTGTAGACTCAGTCCTCAATCCATTTTACTCCATTGATTCTGATCCCTACTGGGAACCGCAGCTTAAATTGATCGACGACAAGTATATGAGCATTGATTTTCCCTTTGAGCCAGTTGAAGGAGGTGATCATACAGGACCATTCAAGTTTGTATCAGAGAAACTGATGGATTTAGATGAGTATTTTACGTACCTAAGGTCATCGTCCGCCTATCAAACGGCGAAGACAAAGGGTGTGGAGCTACTGAGGGATGATATGATCGAAAGTTTCAAGCGTGCTTGGAATGAAGATGGGCACGACCACAAAGTTGTCAAGTTTCCTGTTTTCCTGAGGATTGGCAAGGTGGGAAATGCATGAGATTGTAAATCAAATGGTTCACTAACTAGATAAATGGAAAATAAAGTCAGGCTGAAAGTTAAGATGTTCCTCAATGAAAAGTTCTCTGTTGATCAATGTAATGCTCATGGAATTAGAATGTGGTGTGTCTTGTCTTGACGACTCTACCCCTTGAAGGCTGCTGCTTAATGTCTTTGTTTTAGTCAAAATGTCCAATCTTCCACCATCAATAAGTTGGTATTCGACCAAACAGCTGAAGAACTAGCAGGGAAGTTACTGAAAAAAGGGATTAACCCCGACGCTGGCAATCTATTCTTCAAAATCCGTAAGAAAAATTAAGAGTACAAGAACAGAATCATGTTTGGGTTCCAAAATTCTGAAAAATCCAAACCTTACTTGTAAGCCCCGTAAAGCAAATTTCATCCCAGCACGAGAACTTCTCCTCGGATCTTTTTCGTGCAGCTCCAACAACCCAATCCACAAAAAGATTTCTGTAATACTCTACGTTCATGGAAAATTTGCAATGGATTTTGCATGCGCATTGTTTTCGTTCAAAGAAATATTAAAATATTTTTTTTTAATTTTTAAAATATATTTCTGATATAAAGAAGTTACAATAATCTAAAAATATTAAAAAAATTATTTTAAAACCACAAAACAACCATGAACTTGTAAATTACTTACTGCTTTCTCAAATCCTAGATAATTTATCTAGCTAGATAGATAAATGTTCGTTCTTATCTTATTTTTAAGTGGCGTTTGCATAATGCATATTTGTTGTGTTATTTACTTTTTTTTATATATATAATTTTTAGTATTTTTAAGAAAAGTTATTTTTTAAAGTGTTTTTTTTATACATTAAAATAATATGTTATTTATTTATTTATTTTAACACATCAAAGCGTTAAACAAACACTAAAAAAATATTAATTTAAAATTAAAAAATTTTAAAAAACATAATACACAATGTTAAACAGATAGTTAATGGTTTGGGCACAATAAACCAACTCTTGCCAGGAACACCTGCTTTCATTTGTTTAAGAAATCATATTCTTGCATTGCATCCTTCTTCGCACCAATATCATTTTTTTTTAATAGATTCTTGTTTTTTGTTGTAGTTGTATTTAAAAAAAAAATTATTTAAAATTTTTTTTATATTCTTTATCATTTTGATTTGTTTTGTTAATGTAAAAATATTTTTTTAAAAATAAAAATATATATTATCTTAATATATTACCAAAAAAAATATTTTAAAAATAAACCGTTACTAAAACAATTAAACACCTCTTTCTTCACGAGCACCGTGACAAACTAAAGTCAGTTCATGGTCTCAGCAACATTATACAGGCCGAAGACATTGCATTGCTTTTTCTTGCATGTATGAACCCAATCATGACAGGACTTTGGACCTCATAAAAAGATAGGCTTTGCTCATTAGGACGATATTGGAGCTGCCCTGTCAAAGTTGTGACAAGTTGAGCATTAATTGCCCCCCTGATAAACAAACCGAAAGATTTTCAGGTTCCTGTTTAATGTGTGATGTCCACGAAATTAGATTGAACCGAATCAAAGGTGGCAAAGAAAATATTTTAATTTAGAAAAGTAGTGTAAAGTGGCAGAAATGAATGATATGTAAATTTTCTGTATCGCCATTAATTACATAGCAAGCTGTTCTTTCTCTTCTTGTTCATCCATGGTATCACTAAGCGCCACACCTCTTGTCTCTGGCAAACAGAAAACAAACACACTAGAGCACAAGATCACCAAGCCAAACACCCCGTATGACAAGACCTTGTTACTTCTCCCAGCAGAAATTAGAATTGGGCTAAACACAGCTCCAAATACAGGTGCTTGCCTTACCATCGACGAGGATCCGTTCCTCACGCATGTTGGAAACAATTCCAGTGTGTAAATCATTAGCATAATAAAAGCTGTACAGGCACTGAAGTATGATACCAGCTCCAGTCCAATTAGCACCACTTCCTTCCAGTTCATGATGCACATTATGCTGCAAATGCCACCTAATGTAGTGAATGCAAGAAGAGATCCCTTTCTGCTCCATTTGCTTACGATAAAGGAAAAGATGATGTATGATGGTATTTCAGCTAAAGCATTGAATGCAACACTCAAGTAGATATTGAAGCCCAGGTTTCCCACTGCTAATGGCATGCTGTAATACACAATTCCAATGCCAAAACCTGTTAGCATCACAATTAACAACCTTTGAAGAGCCCATTTTCTCACGAGTAAAATCTTGATTGGTGAGTAGAGGTTAGTTTTTGGTGCTTCCTTTTTTAGGGAAATGTAGGGTAAGCACAAGTTCAGGCTTGCTGGACCAAGTCTTTTCAATATTGCCATACCAGCTTCTTTGCGGCCTTGCAAGAAAAGCCAGCGGGGGGATTCGAGTACTAGAAGATGAACTAGTACACAATACAAGATGGATGGAATTGATGTCCATACATAGATAGTTCTCCATGAAGAATTTCTGTTTATATACGCTATAGCTGGCAAAGATAATAGTCCCCATGCAAAGGAGATTCCAGCGCATGAAGAATTTCTGTTTATATACGCTATAACTGGCAAAGATAATAGCCCTAATGCAAAGGAGATTCCAGCAATAGTTCCCATTTGGCCACGCCATTTGCTTCCTACCTTTTCAGTGGCTAACACAAGAGCAGTTGCTCCAATTGCTGCACGGCCAAATCCACTTAAGAATCTGAAGGCAGAATAGATCCATACATTAGTGGAGAAAATGGTCATGAGAGAAGCTATGGACATTGTTAGACAAGAAAGTGTTAGCAAGTTCTTTCTGCCAAGAGAAGTGTCAGCAAGTGTGCCTAGAACGAAACCACCAAGCAAGCAACCGAGAAAGAAAGATGACGCTGGCAGGCCTTTTATGAAGGAGCTTGCACATTCAAGATCCCAGTCCGATATGATTGTCTTGTAAGTGTGTCCATTCCAGGCCCATGAAGACCTGGAAAGGTCACATATGTTAGCACTTGAGTTGCACATGCCATTGTTGATGCAGTGCCACGCCGGTTCCGAGTCTGCGTAGACACTAATGAATGTCTGCTGAGCATCAAAGAACCTTGATAACAATACAAGGGTGGATTGAACTAATTGGGTCCATCCAAAATCTCCTATTACCCTTTCAACAACCGAATCAAGAGACGCCTGAGGTTCATCGACAGCCGAATTTTCAGGCTCCGCCAGAAGGAACGGAGACAACAGAGGGCTGGAATCTGCCATGCTGTGTGATCCTGATTGTGCTATTAACTAGCAAGTGTACAAGTAGAACTGAAAATGAGGGGGTGTGGATACATGGCAGAGACATTTTGGTTCACTTAAAAGCCTAAGAATGGAACCAAATGCCTTGGATTTGGAACCCCACTAAGAGATTTAGTTCTCCCACAGAGGCCTTAGACTTTCGTTTCAGAAAGTTTTGCTATGAGATGAATTTAATACTCAAGCTTTAAGTGCAGGAATCCATTTTGGAATAATTAAAAACACAAACAATGACAGTCAAGCATGAAACATGTGTTCAGAAAAGAATGCCATTGTTTTAGTTCCTTCCACTTTCCCAGTTCCCATCTGCTAGCTTTGGAGATTTTTTTACTTTTCCTTCGAATAAAGAACGATTAGAGACTGTTGAATCAGTTCATATGTTCAACACCCTTCGCGGGTAGAACAGGTAGGAGGTAGTGTTTGGAGTGTTGTTTTGATTATTTTTTTAAAATGGTTTTTTCAAGAAATATATTAAAATAATATTTTTAAAATTTATTTTTAATATTAATCTATCAAAATAATGTAAAAACATAAAAATAAAAAAATTTAAATAAATAAACTAAATTTTAACCTATTTTTATTTAAGCCATATTCTTCACCAATAATAAAAACTATGATGTAGCTTTATAAATATAGCGTGATTAAGAATGTAGTTGTAATTGATTTTTAAAGTGTTTTTTATTTAAAAATATATCAAAATAATATTTTTTTTATTTTTAAAAAATTATTTTTGACATCACTACATTAAAATAATCTGAAAATACTAAAAAAATATTAATTTAAATAAAAAAAATTAATTTTTTTAAAAAATATTTTTAATATACAAAAACAAACAAGATTTATAGTGAAATAATATTCAAAATTTATAGGAGTTTTCTTGAATAACATCTTATAAATACTTCAAACATATCATAAAATTTAAATTCTTAAACACAAATTCATCTAAACAAAGTTGTCCCCTTGATTTTTCAGAAAATTTGTAGGTACATCTGAAAGTATAGTAATGATTATTTAGTAATGATTATTTTAAAAATGTTTTTTAATATATTTTTAATATTTTATAAATTTAAAAAAATTATTTTTATATAAACACATTAGAATGATCTAAAAAATAAAAATTTAATTTAAAATAAAAAAATAAATATTAAATTTAATTTAAAAAACACTTTTAAAACACAAAATAAATTTCCATAATTTTTTACAAACCACACTAATTAAAACCTTGAAGATGCTTTTCTAAGATACGATAAAGGATATTTTTTAGTAGGATTCCGCTTATTAAAAGCAGTTTTTTTTTCTTTTTTTCATAAGAAAAGTTAGGCTTTTTTTTTTTTATCGGAGATTCGTCCGCTTTGAGACTTGTCATTTTTAATAAATTATTATTTTACGGCCCTCCATTGTTAGATAAGAGGTGTTAACATCCACAAGATTTATTACACATTTTTTTATTCAATGATAGGAAATATTTTTAAATTAATGCATGTCTCAATTAAAATTAAATTTATTTTTTGAATAATGTTTTTTTTTAAATATATATACATATATATATATATATATATATATATATATATGTTAGTATTAGCATGTATAATAAGTTTTGAGTACGGGTCTGTAATTTTTATAAAAAATGAAATAATTAAAATTTTATTTATTTATTTAAAATTATAAAATGTATTTTTTAAAAATAAAAATTTCTCAAATTCAAAAAAAAATGCATGTCATTTTTAACGAATTTATACATATTCTCAAAAAATGTAAATCACAAGTTTAAAATCTTACCAAAAAAAAAACTAAAATATCTTTGCTATTTTTGACCGTGATATGGTTTAATAACTTTGCTATCAACCCTGAATAATTGTGTAATATAATATTAAAAAAAAAAAAACCACCGTCTTTCCATTCTTTTACCTAAAATTGAAGTTATAGAATAAAAATCACAACCATACAAAAGTCAATTACTTAATCCT